GAAGGATTTTGCTGGGATTCAGTGGGAATATCCTTTGTAGACCCGAGGTGGCATAGGAAACACTTCGTGTGAATAACGAAGGAGCCTGATCATGCCTGCTGTGGCTCCCGCCCCCGGCTCTGGGGGGGGGAAAAAAAAAAAAAAAAAAAAACAAGAGGGGAAGTTGGCTACCTTACATGCTGGGAAAAAAAAAAACAACAAAAAAACCCCAGCAGCAGCAGACAGTTCTTTAATTTATTTTATTTTATTGCATGAAATGTGTTCCGGTATGATTCACTGGGAGGATTAGTGGGAATCGCGGAGCCCTAATTAGCTAAAAAAATCAATTTATTATATGTTTATTTAAGCATAACCAAAACCAGCCCTCCCGAAGGGAGGGCATTATATCTTGGGTGTGTTGCCTATTTTTGCTCAGTATTTACACTGACCGTTGCTTGTTGTGAATTATGTTGAGGCTTTAAAGATTTGCATTAAAGCGAGGTGGGGGGGAGACCCTAAAGCATAGTGCTATCGACTGTCTGGCATACCTGTTTATTTGAAAGCCTAAATGATAAAATTATGGTTTATAGGAGGAAGGGAGGGGGATAATGAATACTGTTTCTCTTACAATGTGCATGAACTAACACAGTGTGATTAATGTGCTTTGGTGACTTGGGTTAAAAAACATAAATTCTGCAGGGTTTCTTTGGGTGTGATCTGTATCAACACAGCAGCTGCCTCTAAAACATTGATAAATACTGTAGCCATAAAATAAATGTAGGTAATGTCAAAATATCAGCAGTCTTTGGGGATTTTTTAAAAAGATGTCAGTAATTAACTCTTGGGCTTGCAAACTGGGAATCTTTTGATTCATAAAATCTCTGAGGCTTTAACTGTAAAATTATATATGCTACCAAATATAAGGGGCACCGGTCAGTTCTGAAACTGTAAGAAGCCAAATCTGTGAAACGCCAATAATCAATCATGCTAAACAGTAAGTACAAAAAAAAAAAAACCCTCATGATTTTTAAAAACAAACAATAGTACTCAAATTTACAACTTCATTTGGTTCTCCATAAATTAACATCTTTGTTAGCACTTTCTGACATCATTTCTTGTTAACTTAAGAACTGATAGCTCGATTTTTTTTCAGATATTTTGATGGCATGACAAATCAGAAAGAAGAGGATGTACTGTATGACTAGACACAAGATCAGTTCTGTTTGTGGATTACATTTTCAGTAAGATGTATGGATCTATTTTTTCCTTGTTCTTATATATAGATCATGAGACTTGACTGAGGCAATATATATATCATCCATCCATCTATGGCGAACTACAGCCATGCAGCTGACAACATTTTACAAAATCTCTCTCCTTTAACAGCTTTTCTGAAACTGACTTCACTGGGTTTCATAATAGGAGTCAGTGTGGTGGGTAACCTTCTGATCTCCATTTTACTAGTCAAAGATAAGACCTTGCATAGAGCTCCTTACTACTTCCTGTTGGATCTTTGCTGCTCAGATATCCTCAGATCTGCAATTTGTTTCCCATTTGTTTTCACCTCTGTAAAAAATGGCTCTACTTGGACGTATGGGACTCTTACTTGCAAAGTGATTGCCTTTTTGGGGGTTTTGTCCTGCTTTCACACTGCTTTCATGTTATTCTGCATAAGCGTCACCAGATACTTAGCTATTGCCCACCACCGTTTTTATACGAAAAGGCTGACCTTCTGGACTTGTTTGGCCGTTATCTGTATGGTGTGGACCCTCTCTGTAGCCATGGCTTTCCCCCCAGTTTTAGATGTGGGCACCTACTCGTTCATTAGGGAGGAAGACCAATGCACTTTCCAGCATCGTTCCTTCAGGGCTAATGATTCCTTGGGATTTATGCTTCTTCTTGCCCTTATCCTCCTAGCCACACAGCTTGTCTACCTCAAGCTGATATTTTTTGTTCACGATCGCAGGAAAATGAAGCCAGTCCAGTTTGTTGCAGCAGTGAGCCAGAACTGGACTTTCCATGGTCCTGGAGCGAGTGGTCAAGCAGCTGCTAATTGGCTGGCTGGATTTGGAAGGGGTCCCACACCTCCAACCTTGTTGGGAATCAGGCAAAATGCGAACACCACAGGCAGGAGAAGGCTACTGGTTTTAGATGAGTTCAAAATGGAGAAGAGAATCAGCAGAATGTTCTACATCATGACATTCCTCTTTCTGACCTTGTGGGGTCCCTATTTGGTAGCCTGTTACTGGAGAGTTTTTGCAAGAGGGCCTGTAGTACCAGGGGGATTTCTAACGGCCGCTGTCTGGATGAGTTTTGCCCAAGCTGGAATCAATCCTTTTGTCTGCATTTTCTCCAACAGGGAGCTGAGGCGCTGTTTCAGCACAACCCTTCTTTACTGCAGAAAATCCAGGTTACCAAGGGAACCTTACTGTGTTATATGAGGGAGCATCTGTAAATCTTTAGCCTTGTGAAACACTACCATTCTCTGCTAAGCAATTGTGGCCTGTAGCCATGTCTTGAGAAGAAAATCAAGAATGGGATGTCAGCAGTTGTAAGGATTTGGGCAACATTCTGCAGTCTTTGCAATAGCTCACCTCTAATCCTATCTTAAACCTAAACATGTTCCTGCAGTAATTAAGAACAAAGGACTGAACTACTGCCCTGAATTCCTTTATGTGGTTGAAATCTAGATTATGAAAGTAGCAGGTGCTAAGTATCAGTGCTAAATGCTGTGTATATCACTACATAAAATAAGACCATCAAAAAGATTAGCATTGGACATCTTAATAAATTAAGTTGATATGAGGTTAATGTGTTGATAAAACTAATTTTAGACATCTGAAGACCTTTAAAACATTTCATACAATTATTGTTTTGCAAAGACTGAAAACTGGGGACTCAAGTACTGTAACTGATTAAAGATGTGCCATGCATTATTGGATTATCACACTTACAAATCTGTTTGCCTTGTGAGTAAGTTTTGGGGAGCATTCCAAAGCAGTATTTTTGTTCAGATTTAGACTTTACTTTTTTTTCCAAATATATTACTCTTTCTAAATACCATTTTCCTTAACAGTGAAATTACTAACATTTAACTGTATTCTGTGGTTTTTGCTGATTTGGTATAAAGTTTAATAGACTCTTATTTATATTTTTTAAAAAGCTAGATATCAGTCTGTTAGGCAACGTTAATGATAATATCCAGTCATAATTGAACAGTTATAATTATACAGAATAAACACATGTTGCCTTAAAGGGTTATCTAGTATCTTCCATTTTGTTTAGCATTGAAGCAAATAAGCAAGGAAAATTGAATCAATAACTCTGGTCCGTCATTTGGGAGTGCATGAAAGATCACTTAGTCCTCTTTTTTCCTTTTTACTCCAACGGTTCCCAAAATCAGTATGCACATCACTGGGATGATACGATTTTTTTCTAGGTGTGCCGCCCTTTCTAGTTTGTTCTGAGAAACACAGGCAGTTGATGTATGTTTATATTTTAAGACAGCTGTCATGGGGAGACCGCAGCCTTAGTATGATATCTTGCACAATTTGTGAAGCATTTATTCTACTGAAGGCACAGTCTTGTTTATATTTTCTGCACATTTTGGTGTATTGGTTGTTTTAAATTATTTAAGTTTTAACTTGTGAAAGCATATAATATGATTTCTTAGTATTTTAGAAATACATTAGAGTCTGTGAGTCTTTCCTTCTTTAAGATACAGATGTGTGGATTTCAATATAAAGTTGCATTTGCCAAAATTTACCTGTGTAGCTTGTTAATTTTCTTGGAATAAAATTTTACATTTTTCCAGTTATACAATTAACCTTTTTTATTTTGTCTAGTGAGCTAGCATGAAGTACTGAGAATGTAGCCATTATGAATTATTATCCTTTGCAGTCACTGTATTCCCAAACTGTAAATGCATGAATGATGGGGACCACAGGATTGATAAATGATATTATCTACAGTAGCACTATTGTGTAGTTTATCATAATTACCCATCTATCTGTTCTAATATGTCAGTTATATTTAAAGTTACAACACAGTATTTGACATTAACTTCACGGTTTAATTTTGGAAAATGTGTATATTTGAAGCACAATGTCATGAGTTGGTCAATCATAAAGAACACGGATTTTTCTTAATTTTTGGAGAGACAAGACTAGAGGTCTTAATTCCGTATTGGTATATCTTGTCCTTTGTTGTAGTTTTATGACCAGCAAGTTAATATATACATACACAAGCAGCAGTCAATAATGGAAATGCTTAAATTTGTATGATAACATTGTACAACATATGCAACAATTCAGAGAGTTGTGTCTATATGTGATCAGACAACTTGATCAAAGATTTAGTGAGCAATCTGTTTGACCTCACTTACACTTATATACTGAGGTTGGTTGGTTGAGAGGCATGGCTTTATATACTGTGTTGAAACAGAAAAATTCCTAATAATGAGTCCTCATCAGTACAAGAATGTTGCAGAACGTAATTTGAAATGGGACCAATAAACTTCTACCAAAAGGACTTTTTTATTACACTGAAAAAGGCTTTGAAATTAAGGTAGTTAAGCAATTGTCAAAGACAGCAAGAGTGAATAAAAACTGAATCGTATGTTGAGAAAAATTCTGAAAGTTATCCCACTTAAGTTTATTAAAAGGTTGATTGGCAATAACTTCAGTCTAATTTCTATAAAATAGTAACCTTTACAAGGAACATTGATATTACATATTGTAATAAAGAAGTACATATAAATAAAGTTGTAAATAGTGTTATAGTTGTAGAAGTAGTCGGTTCTGAAGATTAGCCAGAAAATTTTCAACTATGAAATTTCAAAAGCTGCAAATTTGGGGCCTGACCTAACTCCTAATAAAGTCAGTTGGCGTTTTCCATTAACTTCATTTGGAGCAGAAGCAGGCCCTAACATTTCTATACTACTATGCTTCTGAAATACTAAGAAGGCTGTATTTACTATGCAGTGGGAAAAGAAAAAAAATAAAAACAAGTTAAAATTATTTCCCTGGAAGTTTTGCAAGCAGTAACTGATGTAAATTAAAATAATAAACAGTAAACAAGTCTGAAAGCAAATATTTTGCTAAATGTTTTTCTTTTGATATGAATATAATTCCTTTGGCTAACTGAAAAATACGCAACTGTATTACTACCTGACAGAGGAGAGGTGGATTTTTAAATGGATTTTTATAATTGTTCCAGTAAGAAGTCTTGTGACCAAAGTATTTCCTTTTATTTTCTCCAGTGTTAAAAGAACAAGGGGATGTTCAGTGAAATTAAAAGGCAACATATGAAATAACATTTTATGCAAAGTTATTACTCAGTGAAACTCACTGACACAGGATGTCAAGTAGTTTAGAGAAATCCCTAGAAGAATTATATGTATACATTAATTAAAGCAGGGCTTGCAGTTTTTGTCATCGGTGTCATTTTGATCCTAGTCAGCATATCAAACCTAATGTATTAGGGTATAAATTCAAAGGAGCAAGAAGGTTTATTCCAATTCAGTACACTGTTGTGTCACAGTATGAAAAGCCTTTTGCTTTCATTTTAGTGCAGGAGTTAAGCTGTTGCCAAAGCTAGAATACAGGGCTGGTAGGTTACTCTTTTCTTTTCAGAATAGCAAAGAATATCACACTATTTTATATCTGCAGTGATCTTTAAGCTCATGGGTAATGTGAAGTTAGTAGTTTTAATTTTCCTGGTGGCAGAAAAAAAGAGTAAGAACAGATTCCATGGAGAAGAGGCTGTCTGCCCCTGTTCCTTTCCTGCCCTCTGTTGTTCCACTGGCCCTTTGGCAGCCTCTCTATCAATCCTCCTTCAAGATTAAACGTTTCATATACTGAGTCTTATATTTCTCCTGCTCCTTAAGAAGTGTCTCAGCCATCCCTCCTCCCCAGTAGATAAGCTCCTGCAGCAGCTTCCCAAGGTTTGTCAGGGTCTGGGTTCTTTCCTGAAGACAGAGACTGCCAGTTCCTTCCAGCTGCCTTTGTAGTTCATGGAGTTGTCACTCCATGACGCTTGGCTAGCGCACTGAGTATCTCTGTCTTTTGGCTTTGGTCATGAACTAAATGCTATCTAGGTTATGCAGAGAAAAATGAGAATGGGGAAGGGGCAGCAGGAAGCAACTTCCCCTCTCCCAACTCCTTCATAAAGAAACCACTGTTATTGCATTGCCCAAGAGCATATGATTTTTTTAAAGCATATTTGGTGTTAACGACCCTCTAAATGAATAAAATGTACAGTTAGCCAATTAATGCTAATTAATCAGCTAATTAATGCTGGTTTTGGTAGAGCTACAAAATATTACTACAAAATGGCTTTCCGTCAATCTCTAGCCCTTGGGGGCAGAGGAGTCCACTGTATCTATCTCCTTTTAAGCACATTGAGTTTGTTCACTTGTATTGGTTTTGCTTTGCCTTTCAAGCATGTGAACATTTTACTTATATTAATAGGAGTCCAGTATTGCAGCAAGCTGTTATTACTCATGGGTTTAAAGAATAAAGTAAAAGGGAACTCTGATGATTTTCGAGGTGAATTAGAGAGGTATTTTGACAAACAATTGTTTTTTAGCAAATGTCAAATAAAACTGTGGGTTGCTGGGCTCTTTCATAGTTACACAGTCAGCTCTCAATTGTTGAAGATAGAAATGGAGTAGACTAACCCACACAAAGCTAAAACATAGGTAATACAAAGCATATGCCCATTAGTTAAGAACTTCCTGTGTTTATTACATTTATTGAGGAATGAAGTTAAGCTGAAGTAAAAAGTGAGATCAGAAATCCGAAGAAAAATGGTGGGTGTTTTTCCTTTTTTTCTGCTTTGTTTTAGCATAGCGCTGCTAATCTGCAACCTGGGTTACACACCCACAGACAACAGAGAGTTGACTGTACAATTCTGCATACCACATAGACAACTTCCTTCTAGTTTATATTCATTGAGAGCTGTATAAGTGCACACTACTAATCTGATTGACTTTTCAGAGAAAAGAGAAGGCTCAGTCTGAGGTACTGTTCTTCAAAACTAAAATTCAATATATGTTCTCTGTTTTTGTTTACTGAAGTGATTTTGAGTGTCAAGAAATCAGTGATCTAAATCAGTAATGATCATAAGCATTCTCTGGCCATGTGACCATTAACGACAGGACAAGATGACATTTTGCAATGCATATGACAGCAACAAATCAAAGAGTTTGATATTACACACCATGACTTTCCTTGAGTGGCCTGAAAATAGTTCATGCTTTATATTTAGAAAAAAATATGATGAAGCTGTCCGTTTCAATGGGTAAAGTCTTCAACTAGCCAGCGTGGAAAAAGAAGGTGGATTTTAAAGATTGCTCATTATAAATAGTGAAGAGTTTTTACGGTGGTTTTTTTTTGGCTGAACTGTGTAATTACATAAGTGTATGATGATCAAAGGAGTGCCACAGTGAATAAGTTAGATTTTTTAATAGTCTACAAAGGAAATAAGTAACAACAATCTTCAGCCATTTGAAATAAAATAATTGCAGTCGTCCATATGTTTCATAAAATTTAGATAACAAAACAATTATTGCCGTTTTCAGTACTTAGTGATTTTATGTACCTGATGCCTTTAAAGAACAATGTCTTTAGACAGTGAGTTGGCTGATGCAGCCCAGTGAGAGACTTATTCTTCACATCACAGTTTTTGTACTATGCTTTGTATTTAATAAGCCAAGAGAGATAAAAACAGAATTCATCTGATATTCAACGAACTGCATTAGCTACAACAAAACTTCCCCAAATTTTAGGAAAATTACTGTCTCCAGAGATTATTTAAAATTATCCCTGTGCTAATTCACGAAAAGTCTACTTCAGCTTTGTTAAAGAGCCATCTACTTAAAGAAGTGTATTTTTTTCATCCCTTCATTGGTTGGCTAAGACAAGTTCTGCTCTAATGTGGAATTAAAAATCCCAAGTATGAAATGATTCATTTGAATTTCAGTTATTATGCTGCCTATATGTGACATTGTGGTAGTCACATTTTAAATAAACCCACAAAGTTTATGACTGAAGAATGTAAATGATCACTTATGATACAAAAAAGCAAAAAAGAATTACATACTTCCAGTTCATTCTTTCTTTTATTTCCATGGAATGTTAAAGTTTCAATTTTCGGAATGCAAAGTCAAACTCTGAAAAACTGTGTTGGAGGGGAAAGAAAGAATAACCAGAAATACATCTGTTAAGGTTATCTTTGCACTGAAGAAGGTTATCATATACACATTGCATTTTCTGCACAGTTATAATCTATCAGCTTGCCTACTTTTTGCCAGTTTGTATATGCAGTATAGATACAATTCTCATGTCACCATTAACTACAGCATTTCCTGAGCCCTTTTATTTTCATTCTATAACCATCAAGCTCAAATCCTTATGCAAATTGAAGAAATTGCTAAAAATAGAGAGTTTTGCACTGTAATAATCTTGGCGGATCAGGTCCTTGAGATAGTTTAGGAGGGTGGCACAGATACTTGATGACTACTCTAGGCAGCAGGTTGGAGGATGCAACAAAGTTTTCACCCCTGTTTATGAGCCAGTTGAAATCCTGCTGTTTTCCCATAGTGAAATCACCTCCCATGGAAATGGGCCACCACAGGCCTGTGACCCACTTCATGTTGAATTTAAGTAGGACTTTGGTTGTGCATACCCTGAGTACTAACGGGTGAAATTCAGCAGTGAGCGGAGATAAGAAATGCCTAGACAACATTTGTAGGCTACAGACAGGTGATATGTGCTTGTCTTCTCAAAACAGAAGTAACAGAAGAAGCAGAGGC